ATCGGGGTAAGGGGGTTGGTTACACAATGGGAAGGTGTTAGCACCCAAAGCGTCTATAGTACTCTATAGGAGCCCTTTGAAATATTTACGCTTTTTGGTTTGAAAATGGTTTGTTTGAAAAGAGATTGGGGAGATGAGAAGAGAATTATTTTTTATATTTTTGTGTTTGGAGAGACTTATCGTCTCATGCCTACGTACCCATAAAGTGCAATATGGAATCAAAACCCCGTAGTTCGTGGTACAAATGACAAAAATTTGTTGGTTTTGATTGATTTTAGATGTAAAGACAAGTCGTCATCTCAAGGAGAAAACTGCGACTATCCACCCACGAGTATTAAGACAACATCTGCGTCACATAAAGATGGAGGATTTGCTTGGATTATCAACAAGACTATCACTCAACATCAACGTGGAAAATGTCAAAGTCTTAATAATATGGGGAATAGGAGATTTACATCTCAACTATAGAAATGAATCATGTCTAAACTTTATGAAAAGTTTTAAAGTGAAAAAGTGCATAAAGGCACAAAAAGAGTTGATGAGTTTTTGTATTTTTTATGTCTTTTGAAATTGGTCAAAGCATGATTAACATTGATTGACTTTTATTAAGAAAAAAACAAAGTTTAAAAATCACTTGACGAAAGTCAAGGTTTTATTGCGAAAGCGGTTTTGAAGTTTGAAACCAAGAAGGTTTTGAAAGAGGGAGAAAGTTTTGAAAATTTAAGAAGGGAAGGAGATGAAGTGACTATCCTAGAAACCAAAATAAGAGCTAGAGATAAGAAAGATCTAACCGACTTGTAGCACACTCCATAGCAAGCAAAAAAGAATTCCATCCGATTTAAAGCATAAGCTAATGAGCGAGCCAAATAAAGGCTAAGATCCACAATACTCCAAGCATAGGAATGAGAACCCTAATTCTAAGTCCAAAGGTCCATAAAGTCCAAGGTCTAAGAGTAGTCCAAGAGCATAACCACAAAGTTAATAGCACCAAATTTTTTAGATGTTTTATCCTTTATTAGTGTTTTGAACAAAGTATGGTCCAAGTGGACAAAGAGAAAATGACATAAACATAAACAAAGATATCATATGAAATGATAATATGGAAGCATAAAAGTAAGAAATAAGGAGTAAGAAGAGAATATAAACAAAATTAAACAAAGATAATGTTAGTGAATTAGTGGTTAGTGGTTAGAACATATGATCAATGATGATTAATTCTTGCACTTTAGACCAAGGTTAATGAAAACTCATTAGAGGATTGATAGAATCAAAGCCTCCTAACAATGATTTTCATAGGTATTGGACTCAAGACAAGCAACTAAACATACTTGAACTTTTAAACGTAAGTTTGAGCCACGAATGATCATTTTCCGATTAAGGGACACTTTAGCGCTATGTTAAGCAATCGTAATCGGGTTTATGTAGAAACCACGACTATCTGAGGCCGGTCAATAAAATGTTAGTGTTAATACGTGTTAGAGAAGTGATATGTAAATCACTCTCCTAAAACATGCCACACAAAAAGAAAAGAGGTAGTGATCTCATCACAATCAAGATTTTTAATTAATTAATCAAAGGTAATCTATCATTATTCCAAAGTAAGGAGAATTATCTCAATGATTATTCGTCCATAGATTTGAAATAATGAAGATTAAACAACCTTGATAATCAACAATCTATGATCCATGGATTTCATCGATCAAAAATAAAAAGAAGAAGAAAAAGAATTAAAATGAAAAGAAATTTCAATTTGAATCTTAAATCGATTAAATCATCATCAATATCAATCACCTCTTTTAATGGATAAAATCAACACTCAAAGTCCATTGATATTGATGAGATCCTATCAAAATTTAAGATCCAAAACCAAAATTACAATTAATCCAAATTAGTATATATTTTTTTTATCAATTTTTTTTTAAGAGTTTTCTTTAAAATATAAAACTATTAACAAGAAAAAAAGTTAACAGGCCCATACGGCCCAAATCTTTAAGAAAAAGAATAAAAAAAATTAAAAAAAAATAAAAATATAATAAAACAAGTGAAAGAAAAAAAAGAAATAGAAATCAGAAAGAAACAGAAACACATCGTCTTCTTCTAGCTCTCACACGCGAAAACGTTCACAGCCATGGATGCTCTTAGTATCTGCAGAACCTGGATCTTTGCCAATCCTGGAGAATTGGGAGGAAAAGGGGTGTAGAGGTGGCTCAGATCTGTCTTTAGATTCCAATTGATCAGATCCAGAACCACTGCGAGCTTTGCTTATAAAATTGGGATCTCCACTATTGGTGAATGAGAGGTTCCTCACCTTTGAAGAATTCAGGTTGTTGTTCTCAGATGATGCTGATCCTGGATGTGGCATATTCTTCCCAACAGAGTTTGGAAGAGTGCCATCAGGCAAAGTTTCCTTAGCCTCAGTATCTCGTACATGCAAAGGAGGCATGGTGCCAAATTGAAAGCGGAATGACAATTCAGAATCAGTCTTTCCACAAGTGGATTCATCAGAATGGGATGGATAAGTTTTATTATTAGTGTTATCTTTAATCCCTCCTGAATCAAGAGCTTTATCCCAAAATCCAGAAGGCTCAATTTTCACACCCTTCCACACGCTTGAGCCTGAAGCACCATTTGATGCAAGCTCCCTCTCTTCTTTACTAGAATCAGGTGTGATATGATTTAATTTGTGAACTGTAGAAGAACCACCAACTGAATCAAGCAAACTCGCAAACTTTGGAGAAGAAGACATTGCTGCATCCACATTGCTATTTTTTGTGGTTTTATCAGTAATGTCAAGGGTGGGAACAAAAGAAATATGTCCCTCCGATCGGTCATGCTCATTTGAGACGATACTCTCACAGACAGAGGAATCATCAGATGAATCACTAGCACTTGGGGAAGCCGAAAATCCAGAAAATGAATTACTAGATAATTCAGAATTAGTATCTGCTAAAATTTCCTCCGTAAGGAACCCGGCTTTAATATTATCATCCTTTCCAAATGAAGCCTTGGGAGAAAAGCTGATAGCTTGAGAGGGTATTTTACACTCTGCACCTCTGTTTTCAGATTTCTCCTCATGGATACCAGAGTAATCTTGCTCCACTTTCCTCTTGTCAATACCACTTATTACGCCATCGCTCTGATGTGTTTTGCTGGGAGGATGACATTCAAATTTATGACCTTGACGCCAATGAACAGTTTGGCAATGAGTAGAACAGTAGCGAACGGATTTGCACTTAGCACATCGCGCAGTAGCGGGAAAATAGCAGAGAGCACATTGATAACTGTTAGCAGCAGCGAAAACCGGGGCAGACACATATAACGCCTCTCTCTCAACCCTTTCTGTTTCCTCAGCAGCCAAAACCAAAAGCCTCTTGATCTCCTCATTCCTAGCCACATAGAATAAAAAGAAACAAACAAATTGCAAAATATATATTTTTTTTTTTGGTATTTTGGTTAGAGGTTAGTAAACATAAACAATCAAAAAACAAGTAAAAAACAAATAAGGGTGAGAAAGCCCAAAAGTATGATCTTGTTTGTGGAATGATATGCAAACGAAAGGTGGGATCTTAGGGGTAAAAATTAGGGTATTACAGTACCCAACACCACCAATTGTTAATCTGATTGACTATTCTTCTACATTTGGAGCGTCGTTCTAGGGAAGGGATGAACTTTTTTATGTTGGACGAGCCATCTTAACAAGAATTTTACCACTTCTCAGGCGAATAAAAACTCAAACATTAAAAATATGGCATGTATGAAAAACAAAACAGAAAATAAAAGCACACAACTTTTCTGTAGGAGTTTAAATTTTTTGCAAAAAAAGGTCTCACTGGACGCACCAATTTATTTACTGATATTTTCATAAATCAAATCACAAGTTTTAGTTCACTTAATGGATTAAATTAAAAAAATCCTAAGAACATATTGTGCAAAAAATTTGAGAAAGTGCATTCATGCCCGATAAAGAAAAATGCAGAATTGCTTTAAAATAGTGAAGTGAAGAAGAAGAAAAGTAATGAAAAACAAAAAAGTAAAATTACTTGAATTAAAGGTGAGACACAGATTCATACATTTTTCAGAAATTCAATATCTCTATAACTTGGATGTTAGAATTTATAGAGAATGACAATGAAAATTACAAACCATTATTACAAAAACTAAATCGACTTATATACATGTACATCAATAATAGTCGATAACAGTTAATTATTCAATTATTCAATATTTGACACATACTATTACATGGTTTTTTGTCTATTACTTTGCTTTCATGTGCATTCAATTGTTGAACTCCTGCAAACTGCTAACAATGTCGATAACTGCCCTTGTCGAGAATCAACTTGTTACCTTTCGACTCTACTTGTGCTTTTGGCATTGAAACATGATTGAACTACTTGTGTTTTAGCCTATGTATTTATCACATACCTCCACTCGTGTCGAAAATATCAAATTATTGCAAAAAAAAATTTAAATTCTAAATATATTTTAAAAAGAATGTGTTCATAATGAAATTCTTTCAAACTAGACTTGTGAATTTTGGTGCAGCTTGAAGTCAAAAATTACTTCACATACTGGCAAATGTTCAAGTTTGATGTTTTCCTATGGTTCAATTCAATTCAATTTTTCTAATGGACTGTATTGTAAACAACACTAGCCAAATAGATACAAAGTGATTAAATGAGGAAGTGTTTGAGAATATTATTAAGTCTAACTATCCTCCAAGGACATGGTGCTTTATTCTTCTATTTCAAAAATTTCTAAAATTGAAAAAGAAAAAAAAAAACACTAGAGAAAATTTGAGAAAGAAAAGATTTACACATTCTCACAAAAAAAACACAGAATCTACATTATTTTTGCTTTTCTTTGTGCTCTAGCTAAAGTTAGTAATTTTCATTGGGAAAGGAAAAAAAATTAATAATTTCAAAATCTCGTCACTATCTCTTTCCTTTTTTTTTTTTTTAAAGTTCTTTGTTAATATTAAGCAACAAGTTACACGCCTTCTACCAGCATTGGTCCGTTTCCCATCTTCTCTTCGTATGATATCCAGAATACCGTTTCTGAGTCACCGGAGCCGAAAACTGCCGGCTCCTTCCGCCGTGCACTGCCATCAGCGACATATCGTAAATCGCTCTTGTCGACGGATCATAAAGCGTCTCGTACGCGTTGCGGATCTCGATGAAGTCTCCGTCGTCACACTCCGGCAACCGTTGCGCCGCCGTGTCAGGATGATAAACCTTCGCTAGACTTCGGTAAGCCGATTTGATGTCCGTAGGTGATGCTCCTGGCTTCAGCCGGAGAATTTCGTACAGACTCTTCGCCGGCCGCCGTGTCTCGGCTACTGCCGCTACGGCTCGGATTGAAACCCTGCGGTGATTTGAGAAATTTGAAATCGGATTTCGGAAAGACCTGGCGGAGGTGGAACATTCGTCGGTGAATCGGAGAGGACGAACGGCGGAGACACCGGCGAAACTAAGCGTTATCGCCATCGGGAAATTAAGACGTGTTGAAGGGTAAAATGGGAATGAGAAATGTTGGAGCTTCTGTTTTGCGCTCAGAGATTATGTGATGAGTTAGTTTATATAGAGGTCAATGAAGAGAGAATGAATATAGATTGAAGGGTATAAAAGGGAATTTGGTTTGCCACGAGGGATGGGTGTTTAAATGTGTGGGGTCTATGAAAGAAAAAGAAAGTGGAACAAATGCTGCAGTGCGTTTGGAAAGGGCTTCTAGAAGGCAAGGACAACAATAGGGTCGACATTAGGATTATTACTCAATGAAAAAGTATATCATGGTTTTATTTAACTGACTTTTTCATATAAATATTTCAACCAACTTCACCTTTTTCTATTCCATCTAATAAATATTTCATTTTACATAGAGATTAATCATTACGTACTGAATAAAAAGTTATACATGGTCACCCTATTAGAATTATTCGAATTTTTTTTTATAATAACAAATATTAATTATCAGAATAACTATGAATTCAAAATGTCTATAATGGCCAACATTTCAACAGCAGGTCGTCATTTGAAATGGCGAATGAGTGCAAGCTGGTTTTGGAGACAATTGAATTCGCCAGATGAAATAGCGGATGAGGCTTTTTGGGAATACTTTCGCCAACCAGAATGGCGAATCAGGCAATGACTAGGGTTTTGCATTTACTTTTTGATTCATTTATTTTATTATTAGTTTTTAATAAATTTAAATAATTGGTTATTAATGTTTTATTCTATTTTTTAAATACTTTATTTTAAATACCTTATTTTTAATATTTACACACAGTTTATAATAATTAAAAATAAATATTTTATTTTTAATAAAGAAATATATGTTATTAAACTATGTTGTTTGTGTTTCTTAATTAGTTGAAATTTAAATAACATTAAGAAAAAATTAGGATATAAAATGTTAAAATAAAATATGGAAATAACAAATTATATTAATTTAGAATCTAATGAAAAGTACAATTACAATTGAACAAAAGAAAAAAAACTAATGATCGATTCTATCCAAGTGACCACCGGTGCCACATTGTGGGGGACGCGCATTGCGACGAGATCTACGACGAGTTTGTTGTGGTGTGTCCGGTCTCTGTGTGTTGAGTTGTGGAGGAGGATATGGTTGGGACGGCCCCGACGTATCAGATAGCGTTTGCATCATTTGACCCCAATAGTCGGGAGGTCCACTGTCAACGACGCTTCCGTAGTCAAGCCCGACGCCCATGTTTTCGAAGGATTGTCGAGGAGGTTGGGTGGAGTATGGACGGTATGGTTGTCTGAATGTGTACATGGAGTTGGGTTGATTTAGGTGTGTTGGTTGTTGCAGATTGTGGTGGTCGAATAATGGATAATTTGGGGGGTCGTTGGAGGGGTAGTTGGAGGTGTAGTTGGAGGGGGTAGGGTCAAATGAGTTGTTTGGGTTATAGGTGGAGGGGGTAGGCTCAAAAGAGGTATCAGGGTTGTAATGGTAAGGTGGTTGAGGCTGGGATTGGGTGGGTGGTGGCATGTAAGGTTGTCGTTGTTGATAGGGGGTATTTGTTGGCATGTATGGGTTTTCGTAAGGCTGGGTTTGGGCACTGAACTGTTGTTGTGGGTTTGACTAAGAACCGCGTTCCCTTGGGTCGGCCAAATAGGTTGGCTGGGACAGGAAAGGCTGAGATGTCGTGATAGACCTAAACCAAGTCATATATTGAAGACTTGGCCTAGCCCCGTGCACAATACGGCCGGTTAAGGCGTATTGCCTTCTTCTTTTCTAGTGTATACGCAACTCCTTCGCAAACTCCTTCCAGTCACTGACACTCCACTGTGCGTCTACCCGCTTTTGATGTCACTGCCCCAAGTCTACTGGAGCATTTGGAATATCCTGATGCATCCTAAATTGTAGTTTCACCCAATCACTCTGGTGCATCTCCACCGTAGTGAACCTAATTATGGGTGTCTTTGATGTCCACACAGCGGCATCGTCGGGGCTGGGCTCGTGGTCGAGACCCTCGTACGGCATCCAGACAAACTACAATAAAGTTGGACAATTAAGTTAGACAGAGTTTGAGAGGTTTATGCATATACATTAAAAAAAATTAATGGTAAATAACTTATATCATCTGGCCCAAGGTGGTCGATTAGGTTGCGGTATTGAATTATAGAGTGCCTTGGACATCTTTGATAATTCATCCTTGGAACAGACCACCTAAAAAAATAAACACATCTTAGAAATTATTAACTGAAAAAGAATATGTAGTTGCTAAATAATCTTGAAAAGATACTTACTTGTTGGCGTACGGGAACGTAAAAGAATTCCTGTTTATTGGAGCAAGCATTGGCATCCTAGACCAACCCCACGCTTGCAGAAGATAAGCACAACCATAAAAAGTGCAGGATTTTTTTTTTGATGTTTTACAAAGTGCGCTATATAGATGGGCGAGGACAGCTGATCCCCAGCTATATTCGCACACTTTGTTAATATTCCGCAATAATGGTAAATACATAGTATGGACGGTATTTCCAGTGCCATCTAGAAATAAAAAGTGCCCGAATAAAATCATAATATAGCATCGAGTTTTTTGTATTTTCTCAAACTCGGTGCTATCATCAGTTAAGACAATACGGTTGTATTGTTCTTTAAGGTATTTTAAATTTATTCCCTGACCCCTCGGGCGGCCCTCGCTTTCCGCCTGAGGATCGTCCGTACAAAGAGGGGCGCCCAATAAATCTTCGCAAAGTTGGTCAGGGACACCAACTTTGCCGTTGACGGCCTTACCATCGATGTGTAGGCCGAACAACATGTAAACGTCCCGAAGAGTCACAGTACACTCACCAAAAGGTAGGTGAAATGTATGTGTCTCCGGTCTCCAGCATTCTAACAACGCTAGAATAAATTTCATGTCGAGGGAATAAGATTTGGTTTTGATCAAATCACCAAACCCACAATGAGTAAGGTAGTCCGTAATGAGCGGGTCGTGTGGTATGTAATCATGCACACGACATCGAAACCTTGATACATCCTGCAGAATAATGAATGTTACATTAGAGAAGAAGTAAAATTACTAACGTTTTTTTAGACAAAATTGTAAACATAGACAAGAACAAAAGACTTACAAACTCAGCGATGTTTTCAGCCGTCCCTCTGTGCGAGTCACCCATGGTGAGTAGAGACATTGTCGTTTGGGATGTTGAGATTTAGAGATAGAGAGTTGAGAGGTTGAGAGTTAAGAAGTTGAGAGTTGAGAGCTGAGGGTTGAGAGTATGAGAGTTTAAGTGTGAGTAGAATTTGATGGGTAAAGACCCTATATTTATATTCAACGAGTGGATATGTTGTAAATGCATGCTTCACAAGTGGCTTGAAGAATGTGTTGTGTAAATGCTTGTTGGACGTGTGTCGTCATGCATGTGTTGTGTAAATGCATGTTGGACTAATGTCATGATGCAGGTGATGTAAATGCATGTTGGATGCAGAGTCTTTTTTATGCAGTGTCTCGTGTAATCAAGCATGGTGGATGCAGTGTCCCGTCTTATCAAGTCCCGATGCATACAGAAAGAGAGTCTCGTAGGCCTGCATGGTCAATGTAGGCATGCAGGATCACATGTGAAAAAGGAGATTCCTTCACTGTCTCGTCTAATCAAACAGGCTGCATGTCATTAATTGTGAAGCATGCGTGACAAGTGAAAGGCAGATATTCCTGATGCGGTATCACATGTGAAAGCAGAACTTTGCATTGTCACGTCATATTATGGGTCATTTTTTGTTTTTTGCATATTATATTTTTTTAAACGTAGTGTGATTTTTTCATATTATGTTTTTTTCGTAATTAAAGACTTATTATTTTTTATGGATGATAGGTTATGATGGTTGCAAACGCATGCATGACTAGTGTCCTGATGCATGTTATTGATTCCTGATGCGTGGCATTGATTGTGAAGAATGCGTGACAAGTGAAAGGCAGAGATTCCTGATGCGGTATCCCATGTGAAAGCAGAACTTTGCAGTGTCACGTCTTATCAAGTGTTCTGTTCATTGTCATGTCATTGATTGTGGAGCACGTGTGACAAGTGTCCTACATGCATGGTCATATGGTCATTAATTCATGTGAAAAAAATCTTTACTGATACATGTGAAAATTACAAAGTTCAATTGTTGATACATGTAAAAAAATCTTTAAACTCTTTAAACAATCAAACACTCAGCCCATTTTATAAAGCCTTTAAACTCTTTAAATAATCAAACACTCAGACACTCAAACACTCAGACGCTCAAACACTCAGACACTCAGACGCTCAAACACTCAGACACTCAAACACTCAAACATTCAAACACTCAAACACTCAAACACCATAATTTTCGCGATGTCTCAAACACCATAATATGTGATTTCCGCTCATCTAAATGGTGAAGTTTTCGAATATGAAGTGTCGGGATACAATTTCAGAAACACGGATGTTACAAAAATTTTAATTGACAGAAGGTCTAATTTTTTACACCTGAAGTCAAGAATAAAAAAAACTGCAATGTGGTCCAGTTGGGAAAATAATATACAAAAACCCAGTATTTTTTGGCGGACCTGATTCATGCAAATTTTTCCCTTTAAAGGTGCGAGACGATGAAGACGTGCGTAACATGTTCCGCAGTCACGAGTATTCTGGGTTCTCATATATCGTGTTATATGCTACGTTACAACAACAACAACTGTCTCAGCAACTTGATTCGTCTCAAGTTTTTTGTGATGAGGAAGATGAACACCCTGAAGTCGATGTCGTTGACGAAGAAGAAGAAACAAATGAAGTCACTGTTAACGAGATGATGAACAATCCAGAGGATGAAGTTCAACCTGGCAATGTATATTTTCCACCTCAACACATGACTACTATCGCCTTAAGTGATGATGAACCCTCGAGGGATGTTTTCTACAACCCCAACTACACAACAAGGGGGCAACTAAAAAAGGGTGACGAGTTTGGTACGAAAGAAGATTGTGTCCGGGCTATCAAAC